AATAATTGATGATGATAAAAAGTGATAAATTTTGCTAGTTAAATGTACTTTTATTATTGTTATTTAATTGATTAATATAAATGATTCTCATCTTGGATTTTTTGTCTCGTTATACAATTTTTTAGAATTAGATCTCGATAAGCGTGCAATAAGAAGAAATTCCTCAGATAAGATCTGTACTTTCTTGATATTTTTGATTTTTTTTTTCTTTGTCTTTTTACGTTTCACGTTTGACGTTTTTCTTTTTTTCCTTAGACACATAGACGATTGAGTTTTTTTTTTTTATATTTTTTTTTTTTAGTGATTAATTATATTTAGATAGAATACGATGATCGAGTGATTAACGTAAAGCACGTACGCGATACAATACGATACGATACGATATGATACGATATTGATACGATATATTAAATTTAGTAAAAAAAATGTTCTAATCGAAAGTAGATCTTAGAAATTTCTCAAAATTTACGAGAAAGAAAAAGATCCCTTTTATTTTTATATTTAAAGTACCTCTTATCGATATTCAAAACAAAAAGAAAAAAAATAGTGTTCGCGAATAAAAAACTGTGGTGGACAAACAAAATTCTTCATTGAAAAACAAAAAATGAAACGAACGAATCTCTTCAATGTAAATAAATTAAATAAATACGTAAAATACGAATATGTAAAATACAAAAATAAAAAAAAAGGAAAAAGACGACTTTGCTATAAACAAAAAAAAAAAGGATCCAAGTAATGAAAAGAAAGAAATAGTTTAAAAAATAAAACAAAAATGTCGCAGTCAATGCGACTTTCGTTAATTAATTTTGAATTTACGAGTAATTATAAACAAACACACACACACATACAAATAAATATACACGTGTGTCGTAAGGATAATCGATATATCTACAATTGAATTAAAATAATTTTTTTTTTCATAACATATCGAAAGTGTCTTTTCGTTTATTTATAATTTTTAGTTGCTGTTATTCCAAATTTTCGCGATGTGCATGGCTGCATGTAGAAATTAAATTAAAAAAAAAAAAAAAAATTATGTATACATATGTGTATATGTATATGTTATATGTATATCTCTGTCTCTTTTCAACATAGTAGTATATGTGTGTGCGTTTTTTCTATTTCTTTTCTTTTCTTATTTTCATTTTTCATTT